GTCAACATTTGAAATAGTCTGAAATTTAATGTCAAAATGTTAGAGCTAATAGAACTAAAATACTTTAATATGCCCAATATTAGTGTTATTACTTTTATGGGTTTAAATTGTCATTTTGATATTATTCTCATTTTTTCGAAACAGTAAGGAACAAATCTAGACTTTTAATAAAAAACAAAATTCAGCCAAAAGATGGAAAAAAAATGAAATAAACAGTTAAGAAATTTTAAAACATATTTCACTAACAATTTGTAATAATGATACATGTTATGATTTTTTCTGGAAAAATATTTACCTCTGTTAAGCTCTTAGAAGAGGTTTCAAATGCTCAAGGATTGCGTCATTTACATTGGATAAGAAAAGGGATTTTATTATTATAATAATATATCAACAAGCATCATTAAGTTTCTTTCATCTTACAAGAACTAAGTAACATAACTCCTTCTATTGTGAGGGTTGAAATATTGTCATGATTTACACATCTTTATCAATGAATTATATCTTGGATATTGTTTTGAGACATTTGTTTCATAAAAAAATGTTTACTGACCAACTAGAATGCATACGTCTTTCTAAATAAAATGTCATGACGAAATTATACATCTAATTTATTTTGTTAATATCAACCTGAAGCCGCTTACTGTGTCATTTGGTTTATACAGACTTTACAGAGGCTTATAGCTTATAGACACACCCTCAAATCTATTTCTGGAACCATCCAGTACTGAGCAATTAGTGTCCAGTTCTTGCTCAAGGAAACAAAGGTAAGAATGACCGCTCAGCCATGCTGCCACTTAAAAAGATACGTTATGCTGTGTAATGACTCATTGGCAACATCATATTTCTAAATGATTTATTTATCATTTCAAAAGATGAATTTGACAAAAAAAATGTTAAAAATTAACTTTGTACTTTTGATCAATCTTGTAACACATTAAATTCTGTAAAACATATATACGTAACACACATCTATTTTCATTAATATCATTCTAATGTTATTGATAAAGACATTAAAATAGCATCAGTAAACATGTTATTTTCAGCTTCATAAATGAACTAAGTAATGTAATATCTTTTGAACATCATTATTTTAGAAAATCTAAATTTAATTTTGTTTCTATTTTGATTGACGAAACATGAAGACAAGTAAAATAAATTGAAAACATTGATTTCGACAATGTAAGTTTGTCAGTAGGATAAACAACTTGATTTTAGACATAATTAACGTACATATTTAGCGTGATATTTACATTTTTACATGTAACGAGAAGCTTTGACAGGCAAATCTGATTAAGCGTATAAATTTATTTTTAGGTTAAACTGACGTTATTATTGACATTTCTTTTGATGTTTTTTATGCTTTTCTTTTCAAACCTTGTTCTGGTAAAGAAACACAAAGAAAATTTAGATAAAAAGATAAACAGAAGATTGTTGAAAGAAATTGTTTTTGTTTGTTTGTTTGTTTCATTTTACGCCTTTTCCCAACAGTATAGAAATTGGTTTGACAATATAAAAGCATTGCTAACAAAATACAAAAACTACGACAAGCTTAATATAAAGCGATTTGATGTATAGATGGGTGAAAAATATAAAAATCAAGTTTTTGTTCTTTTGAATTCCAGATCACATTCTTTAAAACGTTTTAAAAATTGAACATTTTTAGCTCGAAGAAAAAATAACATAGCTTACATTTTAATGTTGTAGTTTTGCAAAAAATATTATTTTAGATAAAAGTGTTGCAAAAATATATAGTATATCTTTAATCAATGCTTATACATTTAACAATTTGTAACAAGCGAAACTAGAAATAATGTACCGTACAGTACAATACAGTTTTACTCTACTCTACATGGCATTAACATAATTCTTGGAACTTTCCCATTAATTATGATCCAACAGATGAAATGTTTATCCTTTTATAACTATCTGACTTGCAACAACACATATCTTCAAATTCAAATCGAATATTTAACTACAAATTATAGTTTGGTTCAAAATTTCACCTTACCATACAGATTTAGATTAAATGATTTATGCAACAATATTATAAAGTATCTATTCCAACACATTCATATACATTTTATTAACTAAAATGCCTCTGTGCTTATCAAATAGAAAATTGGTTTTGTATCGAGAGTAGATCTTGATAAACTTGTTAGAGGAATTAAACCACATGATATCACCTTCAATATAATGAAAGTGAAATCCTGCCATTAACTTTACCTCAAACTTTGCGACAAAGTTCGGTAAATTAGCGGTTTCTGAGAATGTTGATTAATTGAATTCAATATCAGATGTATATCAAAATGCCATATTATATTGGCTTGTTTAACATGAAACTGTGTAATTTGCAAGATGATAAATTCATTTGTTTTTCTATTTACACTGTTATTGCTATGCGTTTACAAGTTAAATATGAATTTTAAAATCCGAGTACCCAAAATAGAAATTGAATTAAACAAGCAGGACACTATACCGGTATGTATCTGTTTTGAATCTTTGTCTAAAAGCTTGAACATTATTTTGAATAGATTTTGGTTCCATATCAAAATGGTTTTATTCCCAAAGTTTATCATACATGTTTCATTCTGACGTTATTAGATGCCGTGTATAATTATATTAAGTCTTATATACTTAAAGACATACAATCTTATTACAAAAATGGTTATGTCTACTTAAACAACTAGTGTGCCTACGAATCCTAATAGTTTTACTGAAAATAAAAAACTAATGAAAATACACTGTATTGTAATCAATGTCTAGACACGTATAATTGTATTAAGACGGAAATAAAGCGAAGTTACATATAAATAACATGTTTTGAATTACATGGCAAATATCATCAAGTCTTGATATTTAAACGTCGTTAAGCTATTGTTTTTTTATTGATTGTAAAGTCCCCAGGTGCTAGACAACCGGATTGTAAAAAAATATGTTCTGAGGATAAAACAAACTTGTACGCCTATGATATATTGAAACATTTAAGTTTTTTTACTAAACAGACATCAAAGATATATTGAGATTATACAAAGTACTTTATAACTGGTTTTGCTTATTTATTGCGGTTTTTGGTTTGGTAGGGGGTGGGGGGAGGCTGAGTAGAAATATTAGCAATAAATATAAAGACATGGTAGTATGTAAAATCTTGTTTCTTTTGCTTTGATGAAAATAGTGATTGTTTGCGCACAGATGCGATATCATATTCTGAATATCAATAAAAATTTAAACATCATTATTGTTATTGTGCAGCAACTCATTCGTCATGTAGTTCATTGCATGGATAGCTTGATTAAAAATAATAAAACGTTTACCGTACCCATTGATCTGTCTTCTTTTTAATTGTTGCTCAAAGCGGCGACGGACAGCCGGACTCTAATTAATTGTACTTCTAAGTTTGAAAGGGAGGAATTTCAATTATAGTAATGGACTAAATTTGTCTGTGAATAGCATACACTTTACAGGTATCTCTTTTGATATCAGATCTTCTAAAGAATGACCAATACAATTAAGATATTGAAAAACAAACGAAGTGGAAAAATAAGCTTTTAATGGACGGAAATAGACACGACATTTCAAGAGCTTGGTAAATGATACAATGAGAATTTACAATTATCATTGATAGGATTTTTGTTCATGTCAATGAACTAAAAGAAATTTAGCAAATTTCTTATAGTTAGAAATTGTTTAACTTGTTTATCGAAGTTAAGACTTTACACGATTATGGATGTTATACTTTAATACCCATTATTCATGCTTTACAAATATCAATATTGAAAAAACTCTAAAATGTTACAATTATCATTGATAAGATTTTTTTCATGCCAAAGAAGTAAAAGAAATAAAGCAAATTTCTGATACTTAAAAATTGTTGAACTGGTAAATCGTAGTTAAGACTGCTATGAATGTTTTTAAGTTGATACCCATTAGTAACGTTTTGTCACGCCTTACAAATATCAATATTGACAAACTATTTGAAGGCATATTATGCCTCAGAAATTCATATTTTTGAAATACTTTCGAAATGGCAAATATGTGTTTGAAAATATTTTTTGTAATTGATTAACAGCATGTTAGATATTCAACAACTGAAAATGTAGCACTGAACATACAGTAAGGTGTTATCAAGGTAGCAAAATGTAAACAAAGTAGTATTTTCACTAAATAAACCATTCGCAAACAGAGCAAAATAAGCCAAATATACTTTATATATATGGCAGTTGAATATTTTGGGTAACTGTGCCAAGATACCAAAGATAGAAAGTTTAAATTTGATAAATAAAAATTACAGCATTTTTAAGACATAATGGCTTTAAATATAAAATTTATCTAAAATGATACAACCAGGGATACACATAAATTACTTCTTTATTCCAATTTTAAAAGTGAAAGTCACGCTTTTTTGTATATTAAATGAATTATAAATACCAATATCCTCAAGTTATTATTTTAATATCAAAATTCCAAATCTGATTGTAGCAAACAAAAACTGAAGTTGTGTGATTATTTTACATTAAATTTTCCCTTTTCCCAATTTATTACCTAACTGCGTTTGTATTATATGTTATTTTTCCTGTATTAAAATTAAACACTACAATCGTTATGATTCTCCACACAATAACTTATTTGCACGCTCTATCACGAAGCTTGCTGATTAAACTTATCAAAAGCATAAATTGTCTCCTATATATCAATAAAATAATTAAATAAAAAGGTAATACTATAAATATGTAAGTTTTATAGTTTGTTTTTAAAATAAAACAGTAATGCCGCAAAAAGCGAATAAAATGATAAAAAAGGTAGTGAGTGTTCATTTAAAAAAACTGTTTTTTTTAATTTCAGAAGGCTACATTAAAAATAAGATATAATTTTATATGATTGCTGTTGTATATTCTTAATGTGTTACCTTCTCTAAAAAAATATATTATTATTATTCACTTTTATTATTACTATTATGATTACTATTATGATTATAAATATCATTATTATTATTATTGTCTTACCTGGATCGTACAAAACCTCTGGGTAGTCCGTTTCTAGCATTTCCTCTTGATACAGTGGTAAATTGTCTAGTGGGTACATAGTTACACTGTAAACACATGCCAACATGGAGAAAACTATGCTGATTATATTCATTATGAAGTTTTTATTATATGCTATACTTGTATTAAACTACCCGATCTTTTCCGTTGCTTCTTAAATATCTTTGAAATCAAATGTTTACTTGCGATTCTTATATCAAGCATATGATAAGCTTTGACAGAAATTTTTTCTATCCTGAATTATTGAATAAATTTCAGTTATTTCCGAGGCAGTGCGTAAAAAACTTATATTCCAGTTCGGTTTTTAAAAACTTTAATATTTTCATTAAACTTAATGGTTTACTATAACTAAAAACGGAAAGACGTTATTAAACGGAATTATCGGTATATTTTCCACGAGAAGTCAGCTCATGCTAGTGTAATTTTGTTAGTTCTCGATTAAATAGCCAACTTCTACTAGAAAGACAGAACGCGGAATTCCAATATATATATCATTTCCTGCTGCTATACATTACTATAACAGATATCTGATCAGCTTTGACAACTAGCTGTGAGGTTACGTGTTATCTATGTACGTATTTTACAGTTCATTTTTCTAACATTTGAGACAGATTTGTCATTTATATAACGGCTTCAGATTATATTTTTTATGTTGGATATAATTAATATGTTATTCCATATTCAGTCGGCAGAAATGATAATTTGATTTCGACACAAAAACGTTAACTTAATTGTCACTAATAAATTTCTGATTACGTTAAAGGCTAAGCTTTGCTTTAAATAGAAGTGGAAGGAGCAAGTGCCCTAATAGGTGTGTTTGTAATAATTATGACAGAGGACAGTAAATATAAAAATACAAGTTAAATCTTAAAACCACAAACTATTTTTAAACACAAACATCTCAATTGTGAAAATGCTGCCTCAAAAGGGGTCCGTTGTTATTAAAAATTATAAAACTATGATAAAGTAAAACTAAATAAGAAAACAGAAAACTGTTGAAATTTAAGAAATAATATCGTTTTTGCGGTGTTTGAGAATAAGTGATCTCCTTTATTTTGTATCATATTGTTAGAATCGAAATAATATCGGTGGTTTCATCGATGTTCATCGACTATTTAACACCGGTTTTCATGCATATGATTGACCACGAAGTACAGGGTTCTTGGTTTCCTTTTCGCATCAAAACGACAAAACCGGTGTTAAATAGCCGATGAACACCGATGAAACCACCGATATTATTTCGATTCCAACAATATGATACAAATTAAGGGAGATCACTTACGCTTTTATTCTCAAGCAGAGATTATTTCCGCTGTCAATTTTGATATAACGCTGTTCTATTCGCAACCTACTTTCGCTAAGGTATGAAGAATTATTAACAAAAGAAGTAATAAGAAATATGATTCACATTTATTTATTATTCAAGAATTATTTACAATTAAAACGTGACAGACTGGATCGTATTGAGTTCTCATTGGTGCTCAAATAATCATTCTTCAAAACCCACTCATGTCAGTTTAAAATGACGTCATTCTGGCGCCTTTTTAATGAGTTGCATACCAAGGATGACGTAATTACGCTGCTTACGAATTGAGTTTTTCACTATACTCAAAAAAGAAAAACCCGGTGTTAAACAGCCAATAAACACTTGTTATGGTTACACTACGTGTACATGCAGCTGTTAGTTTTTCTCCCTCGGTAATATAGCTTTCAAAGCCATTTTCAAGCAACAATAATAACGCAATTCTATTGATATTTCCCGTTCTTATTATATTATCTTTTCGTATAATGCTAAAGATATATCACACATACGCTAACGCCAGATTTGATCAATATCAGTTGATAAAATTGATACGACAAATCGGCGCCAATTCGTAGGCAGCGTAATGACATCATCTTAAGTGTGCAATTCATTTATAAAGGGTCCATAACGGTTTTGTCGTTTTATTATTTTAATTTCGTTTTTAAATACAATATTTGAAGTCAATACTTTAAAGTGACTTCGCATAAGGCGACTAGAAATCATTAAAATCAAGAAATGGCCGCCATCTACAAGTTGATGTTCCAATGTTAAGGGCGGCAGAATTTTAAGAATAAAAATCCCCTATATACAATAAAATGTCAATGAAATTGAAAGGGTGACACGATAGAAATAAAACATAAACACATTCTATTGTCGTTTTTATATATCAGTTTTATCAGGTTCTGTATAACTGATATGGGCGGAAGAAACAATTCAAGCCTGGCACCTTCGAGCCCATATCAGCATTGCCTGTCAATATTGACAAAAACAAAAGAATGTGTTTCTCAATTCCTTCAATTAATAATCACGTTTAGTCGTCTTCAAGGCTGTTGCGTTTTATTTTTCGTTTTTAAAGCCCATCATTTTTTCTAATGCTTTGACATACAAGTAATTGATGGCATACAATCTTGAAAGTCTAAGTCTTACAGTTCAACTTCAGGTTATTTAATGCCAAGTAATTGGTTTTGGGCCAAATAAGCAGCAGGGTTCGACAAGTTTAACATTACATGCAAGGAGATCTGTATAGCTCAAATAGCTCATTTGATAACTTGTATTTTATTTATTTTGATTAACAGGTTATATTGCACTTTACAGTTTGGGTTGAAGACGAGTGCTGTGTTTATCAGCGATCATATAACAAATTTTAACCCCTTAAATTTATACTACTGCAGAAGTGCTTTAATGCGTTTCTCTATAATTGTCGTTCATATGATTCTTATAAAATAAGAGACTATATATTGATAGGGGAAAGTCATATTTATTGAACGCAGACCCCACAATATAAAGCAATGACGTCCAAAGGAGGAGCCGAAGTACAAAGCAAGAGGAAAAGACATCAAAGTGAACTCCATGTTACAATCATTTGCAACTTATAAACTCCATAAAAACAACTAAAACTTCAAATGTTTCTTTTCTTCATTTTCCAAAAATTAACGACTGTTTTAATTTCTAAAATTATATTCAATGGCCATTTAACTGCACCATGGTAAGGTTTACTTTGCTTTTTGGCCATTAGTAAAGCTACTACCGTTATACCCGAAAAACATCTAACAAGGTCTAATTAAAAAATATTTTTAAACACATGTTTGCCCTTTCATGAGAAGAGATATTATTACCATCTATGATGGCTAATGTGCCTATTATATAATTTTTTCCAAAGCACTCATGAAACATTTTTATTCATACAGAATTAGTCATTTTATACTTATAATCCCAAGTTCAATACGTTTATTGACATCACTTTATGTTCCTGATAATTGACTGCATTTGCAGTAACTAGTATTGTAGAAAGACTGGTCTGACATGGTCATTAATTGAACAGTCTGACATGATCATTAATTGAATAATATCTTAATATCAATAATGTCGTATCATAATAGCTACAGTTATATCAAAGTTACATCGGCTTTAAATTCATTATATTTTCTAGTGAATTGACATATTTAAAGCTGTAGGTTTTTATTTGATGACATGTGAACATTACCTTTAACATAAGTAATCAAGAAAGGTTTAAATTTAAGGAGAATGGTTCTTAAAAAAACACTTGTAGCATGCTACTCAATCCTTTTTGCATTTGATTGTAAATATATTGCGTAGGTCTGATTGAAATTGAAATAAAATATTGTTTTAACTAAACAAAAAAGTATCTTTCATAATACCATAATGTTTATTTATTAGGCTACTAGCTGTTTGATAATTCGAATCCTTATCTTAGAATATTTGAAAGATTTCACATTTCAAAGTGTCCTTTGGAAATAGATATATATTTAATTACATTTAATTTCACACTGGCATAATCAAGGATTCCCTCTTTCTGCTTACAAAATTTGTATGGATTTCAAATGTAAATAGCTTAAAATATTTAAAATACTTAAACAAGCTGCGCCCTGGTTTCGCTGGTTAAAATATTTTAGTGTTAAAGTGATGAAATACAAATGTCATCTTACATTAGTTGTAATATCACATACTCTAAAATATTCTAAAAGCTTAAAAAATCATTCTTATTCGTGATGCCGAAATTCGCTTGATTTTCTAAAGACTTAGGTTTAATTATGTTGTTTAACATACAAATGTAACATCAAGAAATGGGTTCTGAGTTTATATCACATTGAAAACAACTAACATTGGTAATATGCCCTTTAAGCACACTCTGGAACAATCAAATACCACCATATACATTAATCAAATGTTCATCAATTATCATGAATTGTGGGCGTTTCCATTTATTTCTATAGTTTTGTTTCGATACATGATTATTGTATACAATATTTGCGGTTGCTTCAACAAGTGCAATTATATCAAACCCTCAGAGAGAGCATTATTGATTATATAATATCTCTCCTCTTTCCAGAAATTTCATGTAAATCAGCCAATAATATTAACAATCAATTTTCGTCTATTACTGGGAGTCTGTTGTTTGTCCTTGTGACCAGACGATATTTTTCACCTGACCTTCTCATTAATTTATTACAAGATACGCCATTTACGATCATTTTGTGCAATTATTTTGTTAATATCATTTTCTTTTATGGCTTAAATAGTTTAAATAGCGTTTTGTGATGTTTTCAATTGTTTTCATACAAAAATATTTGTAGTTACTTTTGTAATGGTTAGCTCATTGCCCTATTGTATAAATTAATAAAAACCATCAGGTTCATTATATTTATTGTAAACTAATGGTATTTAAGAATCAAGATCCAACGATGTTGGGGCGGGTTAAAGGGGCAATACCTGATCTTAAGTTCACTTAATTTTGAAAAGCATTTAAGACAGTTGGAAAGCCTTTTCTATGTTTTATCTAGAGTTTGGTCGTTCTGTGTGATATTTTCAAAGTAAGCCGTTATTCAGGTGTGTAATTTGTGATATTTCTAATACACTTTCGTTATCATTGGCATTAACATTTTTATTTATTTATTTTTATTTGAAATTAGAGCTTTTTGCAGTTAGTTGCTATACTAACAGAGACTAGTCTTTGACAAATTGGATGAATGAATGTAAATTGAACATCCTAACTTGAAAAGTGATGACTCATTCGAGGTTATGTTACCTTTTTTATTTGTCTTTTGTTACCAGAGTTTATAACATTGATGCCTTCTCAAAATACCATTTTATTTTGTTTCGCCTGTTGTTTTGCTTCCTTAGGTCTCAGGCACTGTGATAATATGCTATTTTTACCGAATTTCACAAAAAAAGTTACATTCATATCGAAGGTTCTATGATTGCTTTTGTGTGAAGAATTCTGCCGTGATTGCTTTAACAACAATTTCATGATGAATGTTTAACTTTGCTTAAGCTGGTGCTAAGTGGTTTGAACAATTGCTGTGCATTTTTTAAAGTTTAAGCGGTCCGATAAAAGCATTTTAGTGGCAGCGTAGGCTGTCTCTTAACTGTTTTGACGGAACGCTGAGGCCGCCGAACAAATTGTACTATTAAAACTTTAAATTTCATGATATGAGA